CCAAGCAGAGTATCGCCAACGCCTCCGTCTTTGAAGATGTCGACCGGGGCCATGAGACCCAGAGCCTTACTGGGCATATGGATGGTTTTGATCCCTTCGCGGGTATGTCGTCGACGCCACCATACACAAGCAATTCTGCCAACAACCATGCGTACATGAACGAGACCTGTGGCCTGTCAGCACTTCGCACCCGAGGGACTGCCCATGGCACAGTGATCATATGCCCTGACTGTGGAAGCAACCTGAAGACGAAGTCGGAACTAAAGTAATTGTGGCCCAATCCCCAACCATGGGCAACGTCCGTTCGTCACTGACATCGTTGCTAGCAAACATAAGCAGAGGCACAGTAAGCCTCACAAGTGCGATGTTTCTGGTTGCTCTCGCAAAGAGGGTTTTAGTACAATCAATGATCTGGATCGTCACAAACGAAGCGTTCATCGTGACACCGATACTAGCGGGCCCAGATATCATTGCAACTTGGCGGCGTGCCACAACAAGAAAAAGATCTGGCCAAGGGCAGACAACTTCAGATCTCACCTCAAACGCCTTCATGGTGTTAAAGCAGGCGACGATGACATCGCACGATATTTAATTCCGTAGGTTGTTACGTCGATTTTCTTTTTCACCGTTACTTATACTCTTACTCAACTAGGTCTCAACAACAAGATGTCGGAAGCCTTACGGAAGGCATGGATGTGTCTGATTCAACGATCGAAAGCTTCCGCTTCACACCCTACGACCAGGCAATGCCGCCATCCATGTGGGTAAATCATCAGTCTCAAGACTTGGAAATGACACACCTCGTTGTGGATAACACCGGCCCTCGAACAGAGTTGGACATCTCTGATGCAAGACCTGCCAGCCGCGGCTTTTCTGGTCTGGGAGAGCCAAACACAGGACATTCGGTTCGTGAATTGCCATTGGACCTTATGCAGGGCGGAAATCCTCAACGAAGAGGAATGAATTGCCGAAAGCACCTGAACTTGACCAAGCGTAGAATGAACTCAAACTCGAATTCTTCTGATGCTACCACTCCACCAGAGACGACACTTGCTCCCCATCTTTTGATAGCGGGAAGACTTCGGCACCCAAGCATGGAGATTGAACAGAACCCAATAGCTGACAGAAGTGATCAAGTCGACGCTTCAGATACGTCTGCTTCTGAGGCAGATGGCGGTTCTCTGTCTGAAGACTTGCATGAGGAGAGGAAGCTCATGCGTCGCGACGATCACTCGCAGGTCTCAGGTGACCCAAGGGCCATAAGTGCAGGTAGTCTTGTTAAGGTGATAAATACGCCTCTAGTCCTATCCCAAGGCATCGACACCGGCGGCGTTCGCGACATTTCACCGACATCTACTCAAGACATCACCATGACTGATCAGCAAATTCATCAGTTCCTCCAAACTGTACCTGAAGCCTTGTTGGAGAAGTTCTTGAGGGAGAGGCACAACCCAGTTCGCGCCGAACCAACAAAGGCACGCATTACGGCGCAACGACAATTCGCAACATCTATGTCCTGATTGCA